TGTGTGCGTATTTATGTGTGCATGTGTTCGTGTCTTGTTCGTGTGCATGTGTGTGTATATTTGAGTGTGCGTGCGTGTCTTGCTTTTGAGAGCACACTTCACGCCCATTCACCAATTCACGCTCCTCCTTCCACAACCACCAACCACCAAACACATGTAATTAGTCTGCTGCCATGATGGCAAACACTGCTGTGCACATGGATATCACTGTGCTGGCTCCCGCTGCGAGGCAGATGATGTGGAGCAGCACCCATACATGCCGTGGATGCCGCTATACAACCTGTGCCGGGGACCTTTGCCGACACAGCGGTTGAAGAACGTGGTGGATGACACGGACTTTGTGTACTTCAGCGACAACGGCGACATTGAGAGGCCGGACAGGTCAGGCATCCGCATGGCTGTCATTGTGGTGCATGGTGCTGCCCGCAATGCCGACGAGTACTTCTGCTCCATGCTCGAGGCTGCGGCGCTGCAGTCCCACTACCCGCGCAACTCCGTCGCCGTGTTTGCACCTTGGTTCATGGAGCCCCAGGACAACCCTCCGGACGGTGAGCATTGGGGCGCTCTGTGTGTGTGCATGTGTGTGTGTATCTGTGTGTGTGTGTATCTGTGTGTGTGTGTATCTGTGTATCTGTGTGTGTGTGTGTGTGTGCATCTCTCTCTCTCTCTGTGTGCCTGCCTTTCTGTCTCTGTGTGTGCGTCTGCTTTCCTCTGTGTGTGCGTGTGTGATTGCATGTATCTGTTCCACAAACTCCTTCCACACACTCCTCGTCTCACCACCACCTTACTCACGCCTACTTCGCTCCCCCTCCCTCCAACCTCCCCCACTTCAACCCAGGCGTGGTGTACTGGAGCGGTGCGGACGAGAACGGCGTGTGGCGGTCTGGGCAGGAGTCGGAGCCCAGCGCAACCAAGACGGGCGCCACCACCAGTAGTTACGCCATCCTCGACCGCATGCTCAAGGCGCTCAACTCCACGCACACGTACCCGAAGCTGCAGCAGGTGACGCTGGTCGGGCACTCGTCTGGCGGACAGACGGTCCAGCGCTACGCCCTGACGCAACATGCGCTGCACCTCGGAAGCGGGCTTGCCCGCGCGTTCCGCTATGTGGTGGCCAATCCTTCCTCCTACTGCTACCTCGACCCGCGCAGGTGGATTGACGGGGACCTCGTCATCCCCACGGAGGAGCAGCTCAACAACTGCGACAACTACAACATGTGGGAGTGGGGCCTGGACGGCGCGTTTCCGCTGTACGTTGCCAACGGGCGGCCCGTGGACACCCTCAAGCAGGCGTACGCGCACCAGCACGTGGTGTACCTGCTTGGCGGCAACGACACGTGCAACGAGGACCTGGAGCCAGGCTGCCAGTCGCACGGCCTGGAGAAGACATGCATGGACATGTTTGAGGGGCGGTTCAGGCTGGAGCGCGGGCAGCTGTACTTCAAGTTTGTGCAGGCGTTCTTCAAGCGGCCCGTGCACAACATCTCCGTGGTGCCAAACGTGGGGCACGACCACACGCTGGCGTTCCAGTCCACGCAGGGCCTTGCTGCCATCTTTGAGCCCGGTGACGACGTGTTGGGTGCAGCTGGTGGCGGCCTGAAGCAGGCGGCGAACGTCACGCTCGCTGTGCTGGCGTCGGCGGTGGTGGTGGCCATATTGGTTGGCATCTACCGCAACCTCAAGCGCAAGTCAGCGCTCATGCCGTCATCCTTGCTCGGGCCTCATGGTGGTAGTGGTGGTGGTGGTGGTGGTGGTGGTGGTGGCACCAACAACAGCAGCAACACGCTGCACTCTGCGCTCGCCTCTGTGTCGCAGCACACGGGCTCGGGGGCCATCATGTCGTCCTCGCGCTACCGGCAACTCAAGGACAGTGATGATGATCATGATGAGCATGATGCTGGCAGCCAGCCCTACACTGTGTCGTCGATTCGACAGCCTTTTGTTGACCGTGATGACTGATCGAAATGTGTGTGTGTGTGTGTGTGTGTGTGTGTGTGTGTGTGTGTGTGTGTGTGTGTGTGTTTGATCCGACATGCATGTCCTTGATTGCTTGCCCCTTTGCCGCTGTCCTGTGTGCACAAACTCTTGAGTACACTTTTGAAATCCTCATGTCACATCGGTACAGCACCTTCAGAGCGCGCGCACACACACACACACACACAACACGCAAGCGCCGTGCCTCTGCTCTCTCTCTCTCTTCGCACTGTGTCTTCCACATTCTCAATTGCGGAGGATTTGCCGAGGGCTGCCCGTGTACTTGACAAGGCGTGAAAGCCTTTAAAACATCATCAGTGGTGAGCTGGTCGCCTGAGATGACTTCCTTCACATACCAAACGAGAGAGCATGGAGAGCGACGAAGACAGCAGAGAACGAGCACAGCGGCAGCACAAATGACGCAAATGACGCACACGCACAAGACACGTCACCGACCGAACATTGCTGGTTTGGTCGTAAAGAGTCGCATAGAGCAACACAAAACACAGACAGAACAGCGTGGAGAAGAAGGAAGAAAGGGCAGAGTATAGTAGGAGCGCAACGTAAAGAAGGGGAAGACGACACCAACATGGATGCACAACACGACACCCGAAAGGACCAAGACTATCCACAAACAAAACAGCACGGGGGAGCTTAGAGCTTGTCGTAGTACTTGTCCAGAGGGAAGGGCTCGGGGGAGAGACCCTTGCGGGTACGGGACTTGTTGACAATCTGACCGGCAATGGAGGATGGGTCGAGAGGATCGGCGGTGAGCACCTGCCAGTGATCGAAGACGCACTGGGGGAAGGCCTGGCCACCGGTACCGGCGCGGAGGGCAGAGTCGAAGCCAAAGGACTCCATGACGGGCAGGTAAGCCTTGACGTTGTACATGGGGGTACCGGCAACGCGGTTCTCCTCGAAGACGTGACCACGACGGCGGGTGAGGACACCGTAGATGCCACCAATGGCGTTCTCTGGGCACTGAATCTCGACAAGGAAGACGGGCTCCATGAGGCGGGGAGAGGCGGTGAGGCAGCACGCGTACATGCAGCGGCGGGCGGTGGGGATGATCTGGCCGCCACCGCGGTGGATGGCATCGGTGTGCAGGGTGACATCGTAGATGTTGAAGCGGATGCCGCGCATGTTCTCGTCGGCGAGCACACCCTCCTTGGTGGCCCACTGGAAACCAGCGACGACGCTGTCCTTGATCTCGTTCAGGTACTGTGTGAATGAGAGGGAGCGGGAGAAAGGAGATGGGGTTTTGAGTGAGTGAAATTGCAGTGCAAATGAGCGGGATGATGATGCCGCGTGTGAGTGCCGAACAACAAGAGGTGGAGGAACATGGCGGATAACAACAACCCCTCAGCAAAAAATTAGAGTGTTTAACATTGAATAAAGCATCACCATACGCCATACAAGGCGCACGTCAGATGTAAATCAATGATGTGCATCATCAGGAGGAGAGGGAAACCACTGTGAAGTCGAAGGCCTGGCCGCAAGACAAACAACAGCATTGACGAAAAAAAAAATCCAACAATAATAGCACAGTCGCGCTCACCTGGACACCCTTGGAGACATCGACGACGACGTTGGGGCCAGTGCCCTCAGGGCCGAAGCACCAGATCTTACGGGCATCGGTGAGGTCCCACTCAAAGTTGTCGGCGAGGTAGCGGGCGCGCTCCTTAGGGTCCTGCCTGGAGGTGACCTTCTCGTCCTCAATGGCCTCAGCGAGACCCTCGGCGAGAGGCTCGGCCTTCATGAAGAGACGGTTGTGCTTGTTGGGGGACTTGGAGAGGCACATGATGTTGGACATCTCGGAGACGGTCTCGCGGTAGGACACGACGGGCTCGGACTTCTTGATGGGGATCTGGGCGTGGTCCTCCTCGAGATCCTTGAGGCAAATCTCGAGATGGAGCTCACCGGCACCGGCAACAATGTGCTCGCCAGACTCCTCGATGATGCACTGGACCATGGGGTCGGACTTGGCAAGGCGCTTGAGACCCTCGACGAGCTTGGGGAGGTCCGAGGGGTTCTTGGCCTCGACGGCGACGCGGACGACGGGGGAGACGGAGAACTTCATGACCTTCATGTTGTGGGCGGCATCGGAGGTGGTGATGGTACCGGTCTTGACGAGGAACTGGTCGACGCCGACGAGACCGACAATGTTACCGGCGGGGACGTCCTCAATGGGCTCAATGTAGCGGCCCATCATGAGGATGGTGCGCTGGATGTTCTTGATGAAGAGATCGTCCTTCTTGCCGGGCACGTAGTTGGGCCCCATGATGCGGCACTTGAGGCCGGTGGCGACCTTGCCAGAGTAGACACGGCCGAAGGCGTAGAAGCGGCCCTTGTCGGAGGTGGGGACCATCTTGGAGATGTACATCATCAGAGGGGCCTCGGGGTCGCAGTTCTTGATGCCAAGGGCGGCCTCGTCGTCGTGGGGGCCTTCGTAGAGCATCTCCATACGGTAGGCCTGGGCGGTGACGGGGGAGGGAAGGTGGATGGCAATCATCTGCAGGAGAGCCTCACCGGCGGGGAGCCAGCGGCGCATCATGACCTTCATGAGGGGCTTGCCCTCGAGGCTCTTCTCGTCACCCTGGAGCTTGATGTCGAGCTTCTCGATGAGCTTGGCGGTCATGTCCTTCTTGAAGTTCATGACGGCGTCGAAGAGCTTGTAGATGGGGTCGAGCACGAACATGTTGAAGCCACGCTGGAAGCCGTCGCCCTCGGACTTGCGCCACTTCTTGGTCTTGGCGTTGAAGAACTGGTTGCCCCAGAGGCGGGACATCATCTTCTCAATGTCAATGCCAAACTTGGCAGAGTACATCTCGGCAAACTGCTTGAGGGTGAAGGCCCAGCCGTGGAGGCCGGAGCCAAAGCCGACGGTGCCCTTGGCGACGTCGACCTGGATGGGGCCCATGGGACCGTCGTCGTCACCGTAGGTGGCGATGATGACGTTGACGCTCTCGACGATGCGCTGGAACGTCTGGTAGAGGTCCTCCTTCTCCAGCTGGAGCTCGAGGAGAGCGCGGTCCATCTTGTTCATGAAGAGGATGGGCTTGATGCGCTCGGCAATGGCCTGGCGAAGCACAGTCTCGGTCTGCACGCACACGCCGGAGACGCAGTCAACGACGACGAGGGCGCCATCGGTGACGCGGAGGGCGGCCGTCACCTCGGACGAGAAATCGACGTGCCCGGGGGAGTCGATGAGGTTGATGAGGAAGGCGTTGCCCTGGCTCTCCTGCTTGACGAAGACCATGTCCTTCTCGTCAAGCTCGTAGTACAGGGAGATGGCGGTGGACTTGATGGTGATGCAGCGCTCCTGCTCATCGGCACGGGTATCCGTGAAGCGGGTCTCACCGGCCTTGGCACCGGCGATGATACCGGCCTTGGACACGAGCGAGTCCGTGAGGGTGGACTTGCCGTGATCGACGTGGGCAATCACAGACATGTTACGGATGTTGTGACGCTTGTCCATGATCTCACGGATCTGGCTCACTGTGAAATGCACCTGAGTTTGGAAAGAGAAAGGGGGCAGGGGTAGGGGTCGAGCGTGTGTGAGTGTGTGTGTGAGTGAGTGGGTGGTGTGGTGGATGGATTCAGCCATTGATGCATGTTTGTGTGTGCGTTGGAGCGAAGAAGGGGAACGGTCAAGAAGAGAAGGATGGTGAGAGAAAAGAGGGGGACGAAAAGGAAATCGGTTTTCAGATGCCATATTGGGTGGTGGTGGACCACGTGCGTGCGCATAAAAGCGATCGCAGATGAAGACAAGTTGGCAGACGCAAAGGCGAAAAAAACAACGAGGGAAGAGTGTGCAATCGTGGAGGAGAGGATCAACATTGGTGGCAAGGGAAGAGGAGGAAAACGAGCATGCACACAAGTCCGCCGAAGGTGGCAGTAGAATCGTCGACGCGAGGAAAACGCATATGTGCACATGTGCACATGTGCACATATGCATGTGTGCATGCACATGTCTTTGAGATCGCCCTCCCATAAAGAAGAGCGGGATGCTTGTGGATGCACTCGCTTGCACACACCCACACAAACCCAAGCACGCTCTCGTGTGCACGCACAGAGGCACAGGCACAGGCAGGTGCACTTACCATGGTGGCGGTTGTCTCGTGGGAGGGGTGAAAAGGGAGGGTGGGTGACCGGCAGGTGGATGAAGGGTGATGTGCACGCGGATGCGACCAAAGGGAAAAAGGCAGAATCAAGAGACACACGCGCACACAAGAGAGAGAGAGAGCAAGAAAGCAAGCAAGAAAGAAAGGTGAGAGCAAGCGGTTGCGCGCGTGGCTGGCAAATTTTTTTGTCTGCTGCTGTGGGTGGGTGTGCAGTGATTGCGCACGGCTTTTGTGTTGACGATCATTCGTTGACGATTTCTGTTGGTTTTCGCTGACGCGCATGCACGTGGGTTTTGCGGAATGTTGGCGGACGATTTACGGTGCTATTCCCGCCGATCAACTTTGACGTGCGCCAGAATGTGTACCTGAAATCAGGATTGAGCTCATAATCATCATGTCGCACCCGACAATCACCATCGCCGTGCTGACTGTGCTGTTTGTTGTCGTTGGCACTTGTTGTGTGGTGTGGTGGAAGGACACCTCTGAGACGATGACAGAGACAATGACTGGCGCGATGGCGGGGGTGACGGGGGAGGCGATGGCGGCGGATGGGGAGCTGGCGAGGAGCGCCACACGGCAAGAGGGCACACAACACACGAGGTTTCTCATCGAGAAGCACCGCAATGGCATCTTGACCGTGGCAAGTGTAGTTGAGAAGGAGGAAGAACTCCATGTGGGGAAGAAGGAGGGGGACGACACGAGGAAAAGTGCACAACATGTGCAGCAGCATGTGCAACAGCAACAGCAACAGCAACAGCAACATAAACAGCAACATAAACAGCAAAAACAACAGAAACAGCAACAGCAGCACACGCACCAACAGCAACACCCGCAGGGCCACAGGGAGAGGTTAACAGCAAGGCGGGTGCTGGGGTTGTTGTCCAGTCAGACGGAATCGGACGCCCTGCGACGGCTGTTTGTGGATGTGCTGCAGCACGGGGTGGACGACAATGGCCGCACTGGCGCCGGGTTCTTCTGGGAGTGCGAGCCAATGACCTTGCACACACTCGACGACACATTTCGGATGCGGCTCGTGCCCGCGCCTGCGCTGGACGCCATCAGCACAGACGTGGACGCCTTCAGCGAACACTTTGGCGGCACGGACGGCCAGCCGCAGCCGCGCGTGGTGCACTTCAGCAACCTGGGCGGCGACGCAGAGCTCACTGTGCCTGTTCCGCTGCAAGGGGTGGATACTCGCGCGTATGCGCACATTGGCACATACTATGGGCTGCAAGACCGCGTCGCTGTGGCGGCAGACGGCGACCAGGATTCGAGCAACGTCTTGTCGGCCTTGCAACAGCAGCGGCTTGATGTGCTCCGTGTCGCTGCGGACCAAGCCCTTGCTCGCCTCCATCGCCAGCCTGTCATCTGTCTCTCGACATCAGGGTGCGTGTGCGCTTGTGCTTGCGTGCGTGTGCTTGTGTGTGTGTGTGTGTGCGTGTGCTTGTGTGTATGTGTGTGTATGTGTGTGTGCAACTGTGCGTGTGTGTGTATGTGTGTAACTGTGTGCTTGTGTGTGGTTTTGTGTGTGCAACTGTGTGTGTGTGTGATATTAGCGAGGGCTGTCGATGATCCCGTGTTTGGCGACTGGAAGTCAAAGGTTGACTCACCGTGGCTCATCCTCGCCCCACACTGTCGCCACCACCACAGGCTTGGTGTGAGCTATCTCCATGTGCGCGTGGACGAGCGGCCCAAGTACTATGTCTCGCGCGACTTCAAGGACACCTACACACGGCTTCTGCGATCCCGCACATAGGTTGTGTGTGTGTGTGTGTTTGTGTGTGTGGCGGGAGGGGGCAGAGAACTCAATCGTTTGTCTCGATTGTCATCATCACTATTGTTGTTGTTTATGCTCTTGCATGTTTCTTGCTTGTCTCGCTGGGTCTGTTTTAAGTTGGAGTCGAATTGCATCGTGTGGCTACAGTTATCATCATCATCACACATTGGACAATGCAAATTTAAGTGGCAACGTGGCAACGCACAAGACACACCAGTCACAGAAATACATAAGCGCCAGCAACACGGTGCAAGCACAAGGATATAGGAGGGGGACAAGGAGAGGGGGGGGAGGGGAGGGACGGTTCAGCTATTACAATGCCCACCCATGGATGTTCACAACCAACACACACACACACACACACACACACACACACACACACACACACACACACACACACACACACACACACACACACACACACACACACACACACACACACACACACACACACACACACACACACACACACACACACACACACACATTCACACGCACGCAATTTACATTCACACACACACAACAACAACAACAACAACAACAACAACAACAACAACAACAACAACAACAACAACAACAACAAACACACCAAAACACACCAGCACATGCCCCTTAGCGCGCCGCCAGGTCGCCGCGAGCAAAAGCAGCCATGAGGAGCGGGGCGTTTGCATCAAAGCCAACCACGTCCAGCATGTTCGGGTCGCGCGGATCCGCAATGGTGAAACCCGTGGACGTCATGCCAACCACAATCAGCTTGGCGTTGGGCTTGTTCATCGTGGCGCGGTACTGTCGGAGGGCGTCGCACGGGTGCGTGCCACCGTACCACGTCTCGCTGTCCGTGTACACGACAAACACGTCCACGTCCATCTTGTGCTGCGTGGCGTACAGCATGGGCAGGGCGCAGTCGGTGCGCCCAAAGCTGCGGTGCTGTATCGTCTCCACCACCTCCTGCAGTGGCGCCGTGCGCGGAATGTCCAGCCGTGTCAGCTCGTGGCAGAAGGCAACCACGTCCACGTGCTCCTCCGTGCGCAGCGTCACGCAGGCAAGCGCCGCGGTTGCATCACGTGCGGTCAGCGGCGAGTTCATGATGGGCACGCTCATGGACCCGGACACGTCCAGCGCCAGCAGGTACCGCTCGTTGGTGGGCGCCACGTTGGCGAAGCTGGCGTCAAACGCGCGGTCCAGTGACGCAATCACGCGCGGATGTGGGGTCCACTCGCCCGCAGACGAGCGGAAGCCCTGCCCCTGCGCATACGTGGAGAGCGCAAGCAGCACGCTGAACGGGTGCACGCGCGCGCGACGCAGAGCAGCCTCGTCCCCCAGCTTCTCGCACACCAGGTCCAGGGCGCGCTGCTGATCCTCAGCGGTGATGCGGTCACGCACCTCCGCGGCCTCCCTGCGCTTTCGCCTTGCCTCCTCCTTCCTCTGCTTCTCCTCCCGCTTCGTGCGCGCCTCCTCGTCCTCGTCCTCGTCGTCGTCCATCGACTCGTGGCGCCGGCGCCCATCGTCACCGACGCTGCCCAGCTTGGCGCACTTGCGGCGCGGGTTGCGCCGCACGTTGTAGCGTGGGGACACGCGCAGGCCTGCCAGGCGCCTCTGCAAAGGCAGCACGCTGCTCTCCGCCTGCTCTGGCTCGCCGTCTTCGTCCTCCGGCGGCGTGGGGAACAGCCCGATGCGGGACATGGTTGCCAGGTTGCGCACCAGCGCCGTGAACGGCATGCCCGGCAGCATGGCAAGCCACACCCGCTTGCAGGACAGGAAGCGCGTGGGGATGTGCTCGCGGACGAGGGCGTGCTCGCCAATGGCGGCGACCACGTTGCCCACGTCCTCCTCGGCAGCGAGGCCGTGCAGCGCCGTGAGGAACGCGTGCAGCTCGCGCGTCGTCTCGTCCTCCGTCCATAGCGCCGCCTGCGCGAGGGCATCCTTGCCTTTGGTCGCGTACGCGTACAGGGCGTTGTGCGCGGCGTCCGCGGGCTTGGCGTGCGCCAGGCGCAGCACGTCGCCGTGGCGCCACTTGTTGCGCTGCTTGTATTTGGTCATGGCGTGGGCCAGCTTGTCCGCGGGCTTGCCGTTGTACCAGGCCGCAACCGCCCGCTGCTGCGCGCGGCCAAAGCCCTTGCCGTCCACAAACAGGCGGCAAAACTCCAGGAACATGAACAGGTGCGTTGGGATGCGGCACACCTCGCTCAGCACGGCGAACGCGCGCTGGCGCGTCGCAGTGTCGCCCTGCTTTGCACACAGCGCAAGCGCGAACAGGGTCGGGTCCTGCTTGGCGGCGCGGCCTTCCACGGACACGGTGCGCACGAGGTCCACCAGCTCCGCGCCCTGCCCGCCATCCAGCAGCCGCTGCAGGCACTGCGCGTTGTCGCGCGTCAGTTTCCGCGCGGACGCGTAGTACGTGCCAGAGTCCGAGCCCAGGATGAGGAACCGCAGCGCACGCGTCATGTCGCTCACCTTGAACACAAACCCGCCCGCGCTGTTCTCCACCTCGTGCGCATGCTGCTTCTGCATCTGCCCAGGACGGCTCGCCATGATTCTTGATCGTTTGGGCAGGAGGGAGTGAGAAGGAGAAGAAGACGAGAGGAAGGGAAGCTGAGATCACGTGCGGGCGAGCGAACACCGGAAGGAAGAAGGGATGAATGGAGCTGAGCAAGCAGTGCCGTCCACTGCACCGTCTCTTGCTTGCTTGCTTCATCACCGCACTGAGTCGCTTGCCTTCTTGTTGCTTGCTTGTTACAAACAACACAAACAAAATACTGCTGACTCAGCAAAGCCATGTGCTGACTCGGCAATCTCGCCGCCGATGATTTCACGCAAATTGCGCGGCGGATTCAAACACACACAACACACAACAAACAGCAACAGCCACCCCTAATCGTCATCACATCATCACCAACCATCATCACCCTGCCGTCTTCTCACCACCACAGAGTCGACGACCCGTGATGAGCCGCAGTACGTTGTGGCGGCGGGCCGGTGCCGTGCTTGCCGTCGGCGCGGTCGCAGCCCACCAATATGACACGCACTTCCGCTACGAGTGCTTCAACAGGAGCATGCGCACGGTGCGCCGCATGCTTGTCTTCATTCGTGTGAACAGCAACACACGTGGTGTGTGTGTGTGTGTGTGTGTGTGCGTGCGTGCGTGCGTGTGTGTGCGTGATGTGTGTGTGTGTGTGCGCGCTGTTGGGAGGTAAAGCAGGCTGCAGCGCGTGAGGTGCGTAAGGTCTCTACTGTCAGTTTGTGGCCTGCGCCCACATGCGTGCCAATTCCCCGCCACATCGTTTCTTCTCAGGCCGTTGCGGCGGTGCAAACCGTATGGGACTACAAGGTCGTCCTGGACCGCCACCCAGATATGATCAGCGACATTCACGCCAGGGTCGCTCGCAGATGGTGTGTGGGGGGGGGGGCGGGATTAGTTGTGTGTGCACCTTTGAGTCACATACACACATACACACACACGCACACACACACACACACACACACACACACACATACACACACACACACACACACACACACACACACACACACCCTCTCCCTTTCTCTATTTCACGCTCACCGTCTGTACTATACCACAACCCTCAAAGGTACAACATCTGCTGCAAGAACGCCGGGCTGTACATCAAGCTCGGCCAGAGCATCAGCATGCAGAACCACGTCCTTCCTCCAGAATACGCAGAACTCTTCGCGAACTTGCAGGTCAGCCGCGTGTGTATGTGCGTGTGTGTGTATGTGCGTGCGTGTGCTTGTGTGTTTGCATATAGGAGGTGTGCAATGTCACATACACACAGCTGAGGTAAGAAGATGCTGTGCGCATCTACATACACACTCGTGCACACTCATGCACGCTCACGTGCTTACATGAACACGTGGACACGAGGACAGGACAAGGCGCCAACGGTGTCCTACGAGGAAGTGTGCGCAGTGATGCGAGAGGACTTTGGGAAGGAGCCAGAGGAGATTTTCGCCGAATTCGACAAAGAGGCAATTGCATCCGCGTCCATCGCCCAAATCCACAAAGCAAAGCTCAAGGACGGCACCGCGGTGCGTGCGTGTGTGTGTGTGTGTGCGTGCGTGCGTGTGTGTGTGTGCGTGTGTGTGTGTGTGTGTGTGTGTGTGCGTGTGTGTGTGTGTGTGTGTGTGTGTGTCTGTGTCTGTGTGTGTATGTGCGAGGAGGGACAGTGCGTGTTTATGTGCCATTCGCCCCCTCACACACACGCACGTGTTATTGTTTGCCTTGTTGCCTGCAGGTTGCCGTCAAGGTGCAGAAACCAAACATCCGATACCAGGTTTGATCGACACCATTTGCATACACACTGGCGTTGTATGTGTGTGTGTGTGTGTGTGTGTTCATGTGTGCGTGCGTGCGTGAGGCATGCTCCGCAAGCGTGTACGCAGTATCATGCGCAAGCAAGCACCACGCAACCTGCCTCGCTTCACCGCTGACACATGCATGCATGCGTGCATGTGTTGGCAGATGCCGTGGGATCTGCTGTGCTACCGCGTGCTCGTCTGGTGCTTTGAAAAGGCGTTTGACCTCCCCATGTACTTCACAGGTCAGCCGCTGTCGTGGTGGTGGCGGTGGTGGCGATGATGGTGGTGGTGGTGGTGGTTGTTCTTGATCA